GCGGGCTGGGCCAGGGTGCACTTGGGGTGGGCAGTGGTGGCAGTGCTGGGAGTGGGGGCTATGGTGAATTTTGGGGTGGCTGTAGTGCCCCACCATAGCTACCCTGCCAGCACCACTGCCGCCCACTCCAAGCACAGCCCCAGCTTAACGCCCTTGCCCCGCACACAAATCCAGGGGCACACCCCCCCCCCCATGCCCTCCCAGGGTGCACGCAGTGTGGTGGGAGACCCCCATGCCCCCCCAGATGAGCCATTTCCAGCTCCGTCCAGTGCCGTGCTCTGACCCATCTCAACTGGGCTATGCCTGCCCCTGCCCCTGCCCCAGCCTCCTCGACAATTTTTTCAAAGATTTTTCCCAGGACAGAGGTCAAACTGACCGGTCTGTAGTTTGCAAGGTCATCACACTTCCCTTTCTTACAGATGGGTACCATGTTAGCCCTCTTCCAGTTGTTCAGGACCACTCCTGAATTCCACGACTCTTTAAACAGCTTCACCAGGGGCCCTACCATGAGCTCAGGCAGTTCTTTCAGGGCTCTCGGATGCAGGTCATCTGGCCCAGCAGACCTGAACGCATCCAAATGTTCTAAGAGTACCCTCACCTATTTGGGACTGATTTCATATGGACTGTTGTCTTCCCCATCTTTCTCGGGCCTCTGGACAAGTGAACATCTACAGTCTGATTTCAGGAATACTGATGTGAAGTAAGTATTTAGCTCTGCCTTTTCACGAGGCTCAATTGTGGCTGCTCCCCTGTATTAAGTAAGACAGTGGAGCTTGATTTTTTCTTGCTCCCTATGTAGCTACAGAAGGACTTTTTGTTGTCCTTTATTTTGGTTGCCAGTTTGCTCTCCATGCCTGCCTTGGCTTTCCGTATCTCATACCTGCAGACCCTGGCCATAAGTCTGTACTCCTCTCTGGATGCCACCACTTATATGCTTATTTTTTCTTTTTCAGAAATTCCCTAATACGAGCCAAGCAGGTCTCTTTGCCCCTCTCCCGCTTTTTGACTGTGTGGGGATGGCCTCTTTTTGAGCACTGAGAACTGCCTCCTTAAGGAAGCAACACCAATCCTGAACTCCCAAATCATTCAGTCGATGGTTGTTGAGGGCCTTTCTGAGTAGTCTCCTGAGTTTACCAAAGTCTGCACTTCTGAAGTCTAGGACTTGTTCTACTGACTGAATTCCCAGCTTTTCGGTGGATGGTGAACCTAATCAGGTCATGATCACTGTCGCCCAGAGGACTGCCAATCTTCAGGTCACCTACCATGTCCCCCCCTTTGGTCAGCACTAAGTCCAGTGGCTCTACCCCTAGTCAGTCTTTCCATAGCCTGTGTCAAGAACAGGTCATCGATAGCTGCCAGGAAGTTGCCTGACCTGCTGGAGCTGGCTGAATGATCTTCCCAAAAGATGTCAGGAAGGTTGAAGTCACCCATGACAATCAGGTCTTTAGTGCTGGCTACCCCAGTCAGTTCCCTGGAGAATACTTGATCACTTTCCTCTTCTTGGTCTATAGTAGACTCTCACCATCAGGTCCCCCTCTCCTAAGCCCCTTTGTATCTTGACCCAGAGGGTCATTATATTGATGCCGATACGATATAGGACCGATGTATCGGTGCACCTCTACTTGTTTACTGATAAAAAGTTTGGGTACCTAAATCCTGCCTATCGTCCACTTGAGCCCAATCAAAAACAACAAACATCTCCCCATATGTAAGCTCTGTGAGAAGCCCAGTTTGGTAGGAATGCCACATGAGGCTCTGGGCCACCAGCTGGACAACCCTGATATGAAGGATGGGTGGAAGCACTTGTCTGCCTCTTCTGGTTGTGTCTAAGAACAGCAAGCCAATCATCTGTACTCAAAAGGACAACTTAAGCACTAAGGCTAGGAGAAGGATTTTAAGTTGGAAAACCAAGTTATCTAACTCAGGGCTGCAAGGAAAGACCTAAACTCTGGAGTGAAATGAGATTTCAAATGCATGTTCTCTCTGAAATCTCCTATCATCTTTGTAAGTATTCGCCTACCCAACTTGATGGATGTCATAAATCCCATTACTAGGGACTTTTAGGCACCCAGATCTTGAAGTGATATGCACAATCCCAAGTCAAGCACTCAGGTTCTATATACAATCCTGAATGTTACTCCAATAGCTGGGTCTGTAAGTCTTTTTGTGAATCTAAACTTCAATACCGTGGTACTTCAAAGGTCTTCACCTTCATTGAGGTCCAAAAACTTGGTCCGGTCCTCTGAAGTATTGAGCAAATGCAACTTCCACTGTCTCAACAGGAGCTGCAATTTAGGAATCTTAGAGACTTAAACTCAAAGTCTAGGATAAAACTTGTAAAAGAAAATTTAACAAAACTAATTTTCCTAAGTGCAAAATATTTGCCACATTTTAAAATAATAAACTATAGGCTGTATGTTCCTTGGGAAAAAAAATGGAGGATGAAATCTCAAATCCACTGAATTCAGACACACCAAAATTTCCCCTTGTCTCTTTCTCCATGTTTAAACTGACATAGCACACTCTAGATACTAATTAACAAATAGGGTTTTCTGCTTCTTGTGATTTTATTGCAGTAAGAAAACACTGCCCTTTCTACGCAGGGGACTTGGCTGGACAGACTGTTACCAAACCTTCCATAAAAGAAGATTCTCCTGACTGAGAACAACAAGCTGAAATTTCAGCCCAAAGGGCAATTTTTTCAGAATATTAAATTCCATGGAACAGAAGTCTTCAAATAATATACTCCTTAATCGTATCAACTACTTAATTACAGTGATAGATTTTTATTGCACATTTTTGCTTAACAACATCAAGCAAAGGCAGTAGATAATAACACCTGTATAAAATGCATCCAATTTTTATTGAGTGTACTTCCATTTTAAGATCAGATCAAGGACAGTAATACTGGGAATTAAAAACAGAAAAAGCCAGAGATTTTAAATCATTAAGACACACTCTTGTAAAGAAAACATTTACCTGCTATTAGCTTTTGGAGGGTGCTCTTATCTCCATTAACAGCAGCAGCATGAACTTGAGATGCTAATGAGGAATGATTGAATAGCCAGTTCTCTGAAACATTCATACTCTTTCCAGGAATTGTCACAGGCTGGATCTGCATCAATAACATTTTAGTAAGAATTATATAGTTTTGAAAACACGATTGATAGTTTAAAAGACTATTCAATCCAGACTCAACTAAATTATACATCAGAGAATTATTCATAATTGCCTCAAACAAACACCACTAAAAATCTCTGTAAATTACAGTACAAATATTTTACAGCTGAACAAAATACATTTAAGGATTTTTATTACAAATGCTCCAAATCAGCAAACAGTCATCTTTTTTCCAACACTTAACATTTGATATGTACAATACACATAATCATATTATTCCAAGTAAAAACATTATCAAAGGTAGTGTTTTTCAAGATCATAGCCTGGGATACAGAGAAAGACTGTGATCTGTCAAGAATCATACAAAGTTAGCAACAGACTGAGAAATTTAAACCAATTTTCTAAATCAGCGATTCCCTAACTAACTAGTGTATGCTGCCCTCTGCATTACATGGAGGTAGCAGAGATTAAAAAATACTTTTCTTAAACTAGAAAATAATCAGAACACATGGACCTTAATGACCAGTTCTTCTATGAAATCTTATATTCTTTAGCTCGTCAGATAAAATGAAATATTAAAGAACTGTGTTATAGTACACTATATTTCATATATTTGGCTTGCTACTACAACCCCTCAATAACACGAAAGAATTCAGTTCCTGCCCTTCATGCATCTTCTCCAGTTTCTCTCTCAGGCTCAGCATTTTTGGAATCTCCTCACTACTTGAGCAAATATAATCTGCTGAGGATATTGTTCCAGTGGATATTAGGGAGTGCTCCCAGAGGATGTTTTTGGAGGTGAAACCAGAAGTAACACAGTGCTGTGGCAACAAGCAGAACCTTCAGTTAATGCTGTCCACCACACTGGTTACTGCATGGGATGTTACCATGCAAAGAGGGAGGGAATCCTGACTGACAGCTAATATAGTTACTTTTCTGGATGATACCATATTACAGCAGTGGCTGCCAACCTCAGGTCACAACCCAAATTAGTATTGGGGGGGGGGGGGGGGGTGTGATTCTGCCCCTTGCTGTGCCCCTCCCACCTGCAGGGCTCTCTCAGAGCATGGTTCACACAGCTCTTGCAGCTGCTGCCCCCCATGATCCTGGCCCAGCCTGGGCTCTGCTGGTACCACCAAGCATGAGTGAGTTGGTGGCAGCGGTGGGGGTCGTGACTTGGATTTAGGGTTGTCACAAAAAAGGGTTGGGAGCCACTGTTCTACAGGGTGTGTTCAGTTTCAAGAAAGGGAGGACAACTCTTGAATTTCCAGAATATTTGCTTTTGGTGCATGTTACACCAACGTATTCCTACTCCTGTACATTTATACCTTTGCTGCAAAATATTTGAACATGGATTATAGTTCTGGATTACAGTTAGTATATTAAAGTCATAAAGTTCTTAATGCTGTGGTGGCCAAGCCTCAGCATTCTTAGTATTGATGACTCTGAAACTCATGCTAAGCTCAGGCCTACTCACAAAAGTTAAAATACAGAATACTGATGCTAACTACATAATACAAAAGGAAGTGAGTTCATGGCTAGGCCATCTGAGAAGAAATAATGAAGTATCTCTTCCAGCTTACCTTGCTATATTCTGGATGGTTTCAGGCAGGCTCCTAGTTGTCTGGTGTGTAACCGTGTGAAATGTCTATCCTTTATTAATTAGTGTGGTAAGTATTTATTTTGCTATAACTCGTGTTTATGTGCAGGAAGAGACGTTCTCCACATGCGATAGGAGTCTCCTGATTTAGTTTTGTTTTTGTTCTTCTCTCATGATTTACCTTGTTTTCCAAGGACATGTATGTTTTTCCTGGTGGTTAATCAGTTTCTTGATATGTTCCAAACTGGATAACCTCTTGTCACTGAAGAAGGTAACTCATTCAAATTAGAAATTTCTGATAACCAATGAGTAGGCTGATTAACAGGATTTTCCTGTCAATTACTGCTTGGGACTCTCTCTTAATTTACACAACTAAAAGAATGCTTTGAAGAGGCTGAACTAAGGGTATAAAGAAGGCAGTAAAACAGCAAACAGCCCGCATGTTTCAAGAGTGAGAAATCTCTGACATCAGTTGCTGATGCGCCCGACTTACTCGAGAAGTCAAAAAGAAACAGACTCTTTGGTAAGAAATCATCACCTTATAGCTGATTACTGGACTTTGATTTGGTTTGGGCTCATTTCACTTGATTTTGAATACTTGTAGTCAATAAAGCCTTTCTGTCACTCATTGAACAAGGTGTCATGTCAATCCCTGGGCTAGTCCGGAATCCTAGATTTTTATTTGCTAACAGTACTCAGTCCAATCAATGTATGATGTCCCGTAGGCTTTTGTTTTTGCCAAGGTACTATCAATCCTTTGTATCCTACAGACACATTGAGTAAAAGTCTTTGGAAACATAAGCTGGTGAAGACATTGCTGTTAAAATCTACAGACTTTGATTCTTCCTTCTGCCCTTTGCAAGAAGTTTGTGGGGCTTTGAGGGCAAGGGAGCAAGGAGAGACATTCTGCTGCTATCAAACATCCAATGTTTAGCTCAGCATTTCATCAGTATTCCTCCTAATTTGTCTTCTCTCCTGGAAGATGGTGTTTGCAAACTTGTTGTACAGCAGAAATTCTAGTCCGTCAATCAGGTTAGTTAGGGCAACCCTTTCAAGTCCACCTCCCTAATTCTTCACTCTCTGATATCCTGTTTTGTCATATCGATGAAATCTAAACACATGACACGTGTTTTTATTTTGATGTGTCCAGTGTTCTTGCCAAGTACACACCTGTAGTTTGAGATGCTCATTTAAGAACTGTGAAACTGAACACATACCAAAAGTATGCTTCAAACTGGGGCCTTTGTATGACAACAGAAAATAAGGTAAGATGGTGCTTTTCTTTTGCCATGAAGCTTAAAAAGGTACGTTCACTGTCTGTGAAAAACTTCCAGATCAGAAGGGTGAGCCATCCCATCCAGGAAGATATGACCAGACAGCCCAGCTTTGAGGGAAGAGAATACATGATACAATTGCCAACTGCAACACAGGACTGAGGAATCCATAACAATGCTGCAGGGATATGAGGAACAGGAACAGAGACAGGTATTACAAGAAAAGACAGGGGGAAAAGGGAGCAAGACTGTTGACAGAGGGTCTTCACACAGTGGTTCCAAACATACCCCACATCTACAAAGGCCTGTTCCTCCAGCATGCTCTATCATCCTATAAATTATGTGGGATTTAAACATCTGTAGGGGTCTTGTGCAGCAAAAAATTCCAGAGGCTGTGGTAGGCAAACAATGCTTGTTTCAACCTCTGTGCAGCCCTGCACAACCCATGACTGATTCAAAGAGGAAGAAATAGAAAAGGGGCACCACAGGCAACATATACCACTATAATTGAGTCAGCCGGTACTATTGATTTTTGCTTTTCCATTTCATGTTGCACTTTGGTTTAATTATTTTAGGCTTACTAGTTTTGCACTGCAGTACATTCACACTGCAGTTTCCTCTGCAACTATTGACAGGCAGATGGCCTGCCTTTGCTGTGCTTGTATACTTGTCTATTTAACAAACTTAGTTCTCCAAATAGCATCGGTTGTTACTGTAGTATTTGCAAAGACCAACATTCACATTTATACAAAAACATTTTATTAAAATATTAGAATCACAAATCACTTAAAAGTAAAACTGATAACAGGTGAAAAACCACCAAAGATGTATAAGTTAAGATACAAGCCTTTACTCAATGCAAATAAAGATAATACCAGGTACAATTTTACAAGATAAGTATCATAGCAGGCCCCATGCTTTATTTGAAAGTGAAACGACAAAGTAGACAGAAAAATAATACCACAACTCCTCTGGTTAAATGTAATCAAGAATTCATGTATTTTTAATCAGATACTCAACCATCACCTGCATAGTCAAGATGTGGGCACACCTAGCATCCCTTATACGCCATGAACCTGTACTAGTGCTGGTGTGTGTACTTTCTGGTTGTGCAAACTGATTCAGCAAATTGTATTTATTCATGTGAAAATACTTGCCTTTACCCTCAGAAATGATCTGCAGAAAACAGCAGGTCATAATTACATATGCAGCATTTTGTAAAACTGGATGCAAGTGTGGCAAAGGCAGAACCACCTTAGTTTCAACCTCCCAAATCCATCACAATCCTTTAACTGCTTAGGATGTAACTGAATTTTCTTTTTGCAGGACCTATATAATCAGGGCATGCTTTTATGAGCCATTGTAGAATACAAGCAGGATTCCTCAAAATAACTTATCAATGGGGTTTTGGTGGACAATTTCACTAAGAGGGGAGTCTATGCAAATAAATGATAGCTCCCATTACTGCTAAGTCATGCACCTTTCTCATATCAGTGTTAATGAACCTGCTCTGTTACCTACCCCATAAAGCAAGGCTGTAATATTCCTTCTAATTGCTTTCTTGTAAAGGCAGGCAAACCCCTCCTAACTACTATTTCAGGCACCACTTTGTGAATTGCACTGCAAACCTCTACCACCAATTATTCAAGAGTCAACTTGCCAGCACCAAGCTAGAGTTACACTTCTAGGGGGCCATAGCAACACATTTTTGCACTGACATGCTCCCTCAAATGAGTTCTCTGGGGCTGCAGTGTTAGAGCAAACTTTTCGCATTCTAAGCACATCTACTTCCTCATGAAGAAGTTCCAGAGCCATGTACTTATCCCATGTCTGCAAGACAAGTCAGTACAGTGTAATAGTTCTTCTACTTTAGAAGTACCACCATACACATAAAAGCTGCAGCAGTCCGTTCGATGCTTCAAAAAGGTTCCTATACCCACAGGGTGCATTTAATTTAAACCAAATTGATTTAAATCACTGGTCAGGAAGCCTTGATTTAATCACTGTTTTCTACGAAAAGTACATTCTTGTTTGATATCCTTTATTCATTTAACTTCTTGAAACTTTGCACTTTTAGAGAAAGGGAAGGGCTTGACTGCATGTACACAAATTTGCTGAGGCAAGACGGCTGGCGGGTGGGTAATTAGGTCTGTTATCTCTCATCTCCATACACTGCTGTTAACAAGGATGTTATCTCTGGAGACAACTACCTCTTCCCTATTCCTGAAGAAGTGTGTTTGTACCCAAATGCTTGCAAAGAACAGTTTTTCCAACTATTCAGTTGGTCTAATAAAAGATATCACATCTACCCAAAGAAGGCTGGCTGCCTATGATCTCTGGAGACACAAATCCACAGTTTGAGAACTGAAACTAAGCATCACAGAGATGCTTAATGGGATCTTCTAGACTGAGCACTGAGTCCCATTGTGTAAAGTGGTTTTATTTAATCTTTACTAACCTATATAGGAGCCTCTGGGAATCCCGTAAGATTGATCCCCCAATATAGCCTATGGCCTGTTGTGACCTATTTATAAAACTTCTAAAAAGGTTATATATATATTGTCTCAAATAGTATATAATTAGAAGTTATAATTCCCATTTCATGATGACATCTTTGAGCTTTAACATATCTTAAATTAAAACTATCTATATGTTTAGCTTTTTAAAAGCATCTTAACAAAAAATAAAAATATGATTAAATTTAAAAAAAATCTGATTTAAAGAAAAAAAAATCCAATTTTTAATTTAATTTTTTTTTAATGTTGATTTTTATCCACCCTGCATATCCATCAAGCACCTTTTGGAAGGCCGATTCGACAGCAAAGACACTTGGCCAGAAATGAAAAATGGCTCATTTAATAGATATGACTTAGCCAATCCATATTAGTAGCCTATTGTAAGGAGTCTGCAGAACTGGACCAGCTTCATATAATGATGGACTACAGTTCACTTCTGCTCTTGGGACCATGAAGAAAGACAAGCTGTCCTACAATAGACCAGCAACCAATATTTAGAAATGCTCCACTCTGCACAAAGCTGGGAAACCAAGCTCCATTATCCTCATATCACATAAGATATGGACCAACAGTGTGGACTAGGGTTCAGAGACAGAATATAGATAAGCCCAGGCAGACTTGCATGGGCATAAACCAGAGCATAAGCATACTCTGCTACTGGCACACTCTTAAAGCACGCATACTAATTACTCCTAATGTATCTAAAACTCCAGGAAAAATAGTCATCGTCATGTGTGTCGTGTCCGTCCCCCACCCCCCCAAGGTTCTATTGTTGGCACAATAAAAAAGTTCTTCTACTAATGAGGAAGAATGACAACTAGCATTGAAATTCCTGTTGACATTTTTCCTTAAAAGTTTGTTCTTTTTGTTAAGATTCTTCAAGGAACAAGAATTTTTTTTCCGGGTATCCTCTGCCTCCTTACTTAGCTCTAGGGAATTCTTATATCTTCTTTATAGTGCAAGAAGAATAGAGAGACACGGTATATTTTTATTCAAGTTGCCACGCCTGAAAAGCACACCAGCAACTTGAAACAATTCTAGCCTTACTCTATTTAAAAATTGACCATTTCCCCCATCTCAAGAAGAACCATAAAAATCAGTCAACTTATACATCAGATCAACCTATACTTGGAATAATATGGCATTATTGTATGGAGCAGGTAACACTGCATGACACCCTTAAGGGCCAGCCATTAGAGGATGCCACATAAGTTCACCTGTTCCTCCTCCATACTGGGAGAACATGTAAGCCTACATGTAACCATTATGGGCTACAAGGGCTGATCTTTAAGGGTGCCATACAGGACATTCTACTCCATCCAGTTGATAGCAGGGAGGCAAGCTTAGACTGTGTGGAGAAGACCCACAACGGGTGAGTGACTGAGACAGGAACACTGCGTGTTCTCAGCAGTCCTTTGCCCATCCCAGTCACCTGCTCACAATCCCTGGCTCCTGCCATGCCTCCTACCTCGCCTGCAACGTCTTGGTCTTTTTAAGTTGTAAGTTTGAGAGGCTGGTTTCAGAAGTGGGATAGCCTCTTGCTGGGTACATCATCTCCCTCAGGGCTCATGGAGAAATGCCTCTAACTTTCCTATCATCTTCACTCTCTGGCCTCCATAGACTTTGTGAAGGTCTTGACCTCTCCAGCCTTGACTCCTTTTTTCTGTCTGGCTGGGCCCTCTAACTCAGGTCCACAGTTCTGGCTATGATTCACCAGTAGGTTGCCTCACCCTGCCAGGCAGCCTCTCTCTGGTGCTCCACGTCTGAGTTGCAGTGATTCAGCTTTTGGTGCCCTGCACTGCAGCATCTCCCTCCTTTCTCAGTGGACATTGCTTCTCATCCCACACAGATACTCTTCCCACACCTTCTCTTTCAAGCCTTCAGGTCAGGGCTTAAGTATCCAGGCATCCTTCCCTTCTCTCCATGGCTCACCTAGGATCACTTGTTAACTCACTAATCACCTAATTTATGGGCCATCCTGACACTATCTGCTTTCTTACAGCAACCAGATCTCACTTCCAAACCTGGCTCTCCTCACCCTCCCTCGCCTGAACCACTCTGAACCTTACCCCTCCGTCTCTCCCTCTCCTCTTGTGTTCAGTAACAGGATACAGGTCCTGTTACATATCCTCCCCTTGCTCTTTTCCACTGATGAAATGGGTGGGTGTTCAGTGTAAATCTTTGTACTTTCTTGAAACAAAATCTGCATTCACATTTTTTTCTCCCCAAGCGATGTTCAACATTAAAGCAGTATGGCTGCAAGCTTAAATACCAGCTTGTGAGTCTGGCATTCTCTGTCTTCATCTGCTGTACCCATTGAAGTGAGGCATGGTCCATTACCACTGCAAAATGCTGCCCTAACAGGTAGTATTTTAACATTTCTATCACCCACTTGATTGCCGGGCATTCTTATTTGATTATGGCGGAAGCCTCATGAAATCACTGGTCTCTCTCTCTTTGTCACCCTCCTTTTGGGTCAACACCATGTCCAGGGCCCCATCCAATGGATCGGTCTGCACTATGAATGGTTTTGAGAAGTAAGGTGCATACAAGGGAGGCAAAGGGCTCTCTTTACCTCTTAAAAAGCTCTCTCAGCTTCTGCCACTCACCTTACTTCCATGGGGGCTCTTGCTCATATGCGCTCAGTTAGTGGTGCCATGCATTGTGAAAAGCAGGGCATTAACTTACGGTAATAATTCACTAAGTCCAAAAATGCCCTCACCTGCTTCTTGGTTCTGGGCTGTTGGTAGGCGTCCAAGGCCTCAACACAGTCAATGAGGGGGAATAGCTGCCCTTTCCCAACCTGGCCTCCCTGGTAGCACATTTCCTTTTTCCCCAATCACACACTTCCTGGAATTGGCTACAATTCCAGGACTAAGTTTGACCCCAAATCCTTGCAGCACCACTTGGAAAGTTCTGAGATGTTCTTCCCAATTGGCTGTAAAGATGATCATGTCACCTATATATGCAGCTGCATAATCCTAATGTGGTCATAATATCTGATACATTAGTTAAATATCTGATGCATTAGTTACTGAAAGGTAGCCTCAGCCCCCTTTAGCCTGAACAGCCTTCATTCAGAGCCTCCACAGATTGGCAAAAGCAGTCTTTACCTGATCCTCTGGTCCTAATTCCAGTTCTTCAGGGTACAGAGCAACCTATAAAGCTTCCCTTGCCTTCCATGGTTTCAGTAGGTTTATGTGGTAGATCTGCTTGATTTTTGTCTACCTGGTTGGCGCATCTTGTAAGTCTACTGATGTAGGATTTCACTGGGTCCTTGCCACCATACGAACTATCTTGACTCCTGATCAGGTAGTAGGACTAAGATTCTATCCCCCACTTCAAGCCTCCATTCCCGGGCCTTTTTATTATATTGCGTCTCTTGCCGAGTTTGTGTTTCCTGCAGCTGCATGAGCCTGCTTTCCCATTTGTCCTAGCATTTCCCTGAGCTATAGCACATATTGTACTGGATTTCTGGCCCTGTGAGGCTGCGCTTCCCATCCTCCTTTAATTAAATCCAGTAACCTCCTAGGTTGGCATCCATACAATAGTTCAAATGGACAAAAACGCATTGAGGACTGGGGAGCTTCCCTTACTGAAAACAGCAAGAGGGCTGGCCAGCATCTGTTCCTAACATTGGGGCACTTATCTCCTTATCATGCTTTTCAGAGTCTGATTAAATCACTCTACCAGCCCATGTTTGTGGGTGGCATATGGAAGTCCTCAGATGTTTCACTTCCAGCATCTCATGTACCTCCCCAAATACACAGGACAAAATTAGTCCCTTAGTCTGTTAATATTTCTTGAGGCAGACCCACTCTCATAAAGATCTTCAAGAACTCCTGCGCCACCTCTGCAGCAGTTACAGCTCTTAGGGGAACTGCTACAGGATACCGTGGTGCATAATCCAATAGCACCAAAATGTACTGATATCCTGACAAAGTTCCTTGGGTGATATCCTGATATGCCCCTTTTACGCAAGGGGCATATGATGTCCATGGCTACCCTTTCAAAAGGGGTCTTGATAAAGGGGAGAGGGACCAGTGGAGCCTGGGGCGATTGGCTAGGGGCTAACCCCTGACATACAGGGAAAGATTCACAAAAGTCTCCCACCTTTAGTCGCAGTTCCAGCTAATAGAATTTCCCCCTGTTCCCCACCCAGCTTTTGTCTGTCTTGTCTTAAAAGGCCTCTCCAATTCTTTCATGGTGCTAAGAGATTACTACATAGATTAGTACAAGATTAGAGCAATGTCAGTCTTTAGTGTTGTCTAGATATATGCATGTTGAAGTTTAAGACCAAACAATGACAAGGCTGTGTTTTAGTTGACACACCTTTTTTTTTTTGCATATATGTAGTACGATTCACTGAAAGACATCAAGACATTTTACGTATGAATTACTTACAGGTATTACCTTTAATATACAAATTCTCATACTGGATACCTCAAGAAAGGTATATTTAAGTCTCCAAATCAGTGACACAATTTGTACAGACTTAAGATATCTATGGCCAAAGTGACTTTCCCAAGGTCTATGACAGAATCAAGAATTAAATCCAGTTCTCTTAATTCTTAGCCACAGAAGAACATAATTAAAACTGAGCACTATGAATTTAAAACTCTAGTTTTGTGACCTTCTTTGCTTTTCCCTACTTCTTTATATGTTAGAAATAGCAAGAATGCTGATTTGGCTGAATTCACCCTAGGTGGTCTTAGGGAGGCCTAAAGCTCTGACACCTGCTTGGAAGAGCTGTAGTGCTGAATCTCCCTTTCCCATGTTCGTTCTCCAAAAATATTTAGCTGTTAAGTTAATAAGCAGGTGTTCATGAAACACAAACATGAATTTCAAACAGACTGATTAAAAATCTTGGTACCACTCAGTTGATCAGCTTTCATGTTATTGGTTCCAAGGTCGCCATTTCATTAGTTCTCCAGTCAGCAATCTAGACTAGTCAAGACCTGCATTTCTAAATGTTAAAAATAAGCTTTAAAAAAATATTGTATCACCACCACACCTTTCTTCTTCTGTATCTCTCCCCAGATTATTTTTGGAGCACAAAACACTTCCAGCTCCAGACAACAGCTCCCTGCAGAGGTGGTACAATTGCCTACCCTGGAAATCTCAAGAGGAGACTAGACAGTCACCTTGCTGGGGTTCCCTGGCCCTTGTGATCTTTCCTGCTTGGTGCAGGGGGCTAGGCCCGATGATATTCCAAGATCCCTTCCAGCCTTACAATCTATGAATCTATGAAAAATCCTTCTTCTAGTTCCTTTTAAATTAATTTGTAGGAGGATGGGGGATAGATGACCAGTTCTCCTAGTACACTGAATGCATAAGTACCTTCACTGCAGAAATAGTATGAATTCATAGATAAATGCAATGCAAAATTTAGAGGTTTAAACAAATGCACACATTAAAAAGGTAACTAAATTGCTGCATTCATCTAAACATATACATGTGGTTTGGCAGGATCCAAGCTTAAAATGTAACTTTTACCCATTGTCTGTGGTAAACTTGGTACCATGAGTGACCTTGTAGCTACAACAGCCCAGGAATTATGCAAGAAGCAAGGATTTCTTTAGGTGGTATCTTACTGCACCACTGTGTAGTCAGGTCCAGTCTATGGCCCCACCAAGCCCTGGGACCTCCTGGTCAAACTCCTCATGGCTCTGGCCCAGTTGGCCAGCTATAAAACCAGGAAGGAGGATCTGGCTGGGGGGGAACCTGGGCAAGTGTAGCTGTCTTCCTGTCACTCCTCCCAAGCTACCTTGACTCATTTAGGGGGCAGTGCATGCTGGCCAGTGTGCTCTGCTCCTTGTCCCTTTCCAGATCCCTTGTTATTAACCTGTGACCTCAATCCCATTCCTGTTTTCTTTTTTGCTGTGCCAAGAAGCTTATAGTCTCTCATGATGGGCCAAAGCCCACCACCCCATGGCACATCAAATATGCCTGTGCAGTCAAGATAGCTAGACAACCTTCCATATGCAAAGCATTCTTCTTTTACTCACCAAACCTGATGAAGAGCACCTTGCATTCAAAAGCTTGTCTAACTCTATCCCAGCTGTGCTATTTAACACCCTTGCCTCTTGCGGGTTACATTTCCCAGTTTTTTCCCCTAGGAATTCATTGGTTTAGAAGGGATCTGCATGAGGCCCTGAGAAGGGCTGGAGGCAAGGAGGGGATAGGCTTCCAGGGTAAGGCACGAACAACGCGGCGGAAAGGCAAACAGGCCGGCAGCGCAAACCTAAGGCGCTCGGACTCCCGCGGCAGTCCCATCCGCAGCGCGCACGGCTTCACGGCGGCTCCTTCGGGTTTGCAAGCGCCCGCACGCCCGGCTGCGTATTGCCCACCTCCTGCCCGCAGCCGGGGCGGGGCCGCGCGAGCTGTCAAGCGGGGCCATGTGCCAGGGCGCGGGCCCGGCGGGAGCCCCGGGCAGAGACCCCTTCCCCCGCGCTCCACAAAGCGGCCAC